GTTAGTTTCACAGTAAGAAAAAAAACCTGAAACACCTAGCATTTCTAAGAAATTTGGGTTAAAATTGTTAGAATTCAGCACATTCATCATATAAGAAATGGAATGAAGTATAAAAGTTGGAAATATAAAAATATGAATTTTAAGCTTACATATGGAGTTTCAAAAAAACTTTTATTCTCTCTAAATGTGAACTAAAGTAAAAACATTTAAATATTATTTTTCAATCCTTGATAAATATCTATGGAAATGTAAAATTATATCCTTGTAGGTTTGAAACTCACAAGATAACATATTATGCATTTTGACTTTACATTCTATATAGCATAGCCTTTGGATTCAGAGTATCTGAATCTGATTATCGATTCTGCCAATTACTAGCACTGTAACCTTGGGCAACTTAAGGTGTCTGAGTCTCAATTTATTCATTTGTAAAATGGAGATAATACCAAACTCAGGATTACTTTGAGGAATAAATAAATCAAATCCATAGACAGACAGTACTTAGAATATACTAAAAACTGAATCAAATTGTAACTTTTATCACAAAATGTTATAAATGTTTCCTTTTTCTTTTGTTCTACATTAAGTCTACATCTCAGCCCTGGTCTTCAGCAATTCAAATTTCCATTAAACCAGAAGGAAAAATTAAACACATTCATTTTGAAATTAAGGCTTTTAAAGAAATTAGTTTAACGATAAAGTTGTAAAGGCCCTGACAGACTGCATGTTCTAGTTCTCCCTTCTAGAAGGAAACAGCCCACAGAGGTTAAATGTCTTGTTCTCAGGAGACAAAACAATCCCAGGAAGGGCCCAAAGTACCACAAGTACAGCTCTCAGGTCCACCAACTGACCATGAAGCTGTCTGAAATTCAATTTATCATTTGGGACTTGGTATTTACATTTAAGAAAAGAACCCTGCTTGTTAAAAATTTTTCAATGTCTATGGCCATGCCACCTTGAACGTGCCCGATCTTGTCTGATCTCGGAAGCTAAGCAGAGTTGGGCCTGGTTAGTACTTGGGAGATGGGAGACCACCTAGGACTATCAAGGACTGTAGGCATTAAAAAAAAAAAATCACTTATCTTTCCAGTTACCTCAAAAATAAGGGGGAATTAGTAAAACATTTATGTAAATTCTTGAAAGCCAATTCTGTGGGCCATTCAAGTAGCTATTTGAAAAACAAAGAAGGTAAGATCTTGAGGAGACTTTGCTAGCTAGAGAGAAGTTAGTGAGCTTGCAAAGTACCTCTTGGTGCATAATTTCAATAAAGAGTAATTACTTTGAAAACCAAACCTATCAATCCTCATCTTAAAAATGCAGACTGCTTTTTAAATAAATAGCATTACATTATGCCTTTTTTCAACCAGTCTTTGCATAACACAAACAACACATCTATTCTAGAATTTCTATCACCTCTGCTAATTAGGTAAGAACTGAACAAGCCTAATCACAAGAGCTCTTGAAGAGCAAGCAGTCTCACCCTATCCTAAAGAGTAAGAACTGAAACCATCAAAATGGAGGAAAATCTTAAATAAAAAATATTACTTTTAAACTCTGTCATCCTACATAATGTTCCCATAAGTAACCTTACAACAGAATAATAAAGGAGAAAATTCAGTTTAGAACATTTTAAAGAAAGCTGATTATCTGTCAACAAATAGAGAAGAATTTCCATATTTTTTAAAAATAACTTGAAAATAGTGCTATTAAAACCTATGCCATTTTAAAAATATATAATTAGCATAACAATTAAGAGAGAAGGCACATAAGCTATTCCTCATTCCTCCATTTCCATGGTCTTAGTCATATAAAACAAAATCATCTATTAAGTTTTTAGTAGAAATCAACTTTACATCTATAGCAGTTAAAAACATGTGTTTTCAACAAAAGGTTCTGGAACTGGATAACTATATTCAAAAATATTGACCTTATACCTCATCAAATTCAATACTCAAAAATTAACTCAAGATGGATCACAGACATAAATATAAAAGCTAAAACAGTAAAACACTTAGAAGACAACATAAGAGACAATCCTTGAGACCCAAAGCAAAGATTTCTTAGATATTACATCAAAAGCATGGTCTACAAAATGAAAAACAAATCAATAAATTAGACATCATAAAAATTCAAAACTTTAACGATTCAAAAAAACATGATTAAGAAAACGAAAAGTCAAACATACTGAGAGGAAATATTCACTTTAACAATAAAGGACTTACATCTAGAATTTATAAAGAATTCTTATAATTCAACACATGAGATGGCGAACCACCCAATAAAAAAATGAGCGAAAGATAGGAAGACAGCTCACCCAAGAAAAAATATAAATGGCTAATAAGTACACAAAAAGCTGTTCGACATCAATAGTGCTTAAGAAAACTCAAATTAAAGTCACAATGAGATATCATTTCAAACCCATTAGAATGGGTGTAAGACAAACCTAACAAATGTTGGTGAGGATGTGGTGAAATGAGAACACTCATACACTTTGGAAAACAGTTTGCAGTTTCTCAAAAAGCTAAATATAAAACTATGATACGACCCAGCAATTCTATTTCTAGTTATCTCCCCAAGATATATAAAAACATATCTCCAAACACTTAGATGTGAATGTTTATGGTGGCATTATTTGCATTAACCCAAAATTGAAAACAATGTCTATCAACTGGTGAATGTATAGACAGAATGTAGCACACCCACAAACTGGAATATTATTCAGCAACAAAAAGGATCTACTGACACATGCTGTGTCATGCATGAATCTCAAAAACATTGTTAAAGAAGCCAGACATGACAGACTCCACATTGAATGATCCCATTTATAAGAACTGTCCAGAGAACACAAATTTATACAGACAGAAAACAGATTAGTGGTTTTCCGAGGTTGAGGGTAGGAATAAGGATTAACTGTAAATAGGCATAAAGGATCCTACTGTAGTACCGAAAATGTTCTAAAATTGATACATGATGAAAATTGCACCACTCGGTAAAGTTACTAAAAAATCATTGAATTGTACACTTGGAATCAGAAAATTTTATAATGTGTAAAATATATCAACAAAGTTGTTTTTAAAAATGCATGTGCTTTTGTTTCTTATCCCTTAAAGAATTAAATAACTTTCGATTGTAGCAACTTTTTAATTTGTATTAAACGACTGTACTAATCCTAACCTTGGAAGGGAAAACCACAATCTAACTTTAGAGAAGCTCTAACACAGTGTTAGGAATACCCCTCAAAATGGTTGCTCATTGGACACAGGATTGCTCATAAATCAAAGTACCTTCTGTTGGTTTATATTTTAAGAAGCCAGTGCCTGGAAGCTGCTCAAGAGTAATATAAACAAAAGAGACTTAATCTGTACTTTGACAACGGGCCAACTGATTTGATAGATATTTTAGTCTACATTCAAATTACAGTTGAAGAATTTAAAGAAATAAAAATGTTAACACAATTTAGGACATGTGTTAAGTTATATAACTTTGAGAGTGTACATCCAGATAGCAAAGGCGCTGTTTACGCAAATGCATCATATTAAAATGCAATAGTCCTTAGTAATGATATTTAATGACAAGTAATGTTTCAGGTATTAATCCAATCCCCGGATATTCCTATATTCATTCTAAACATATCCTAACTACCCCCTTAATTTATGAGGTCTTTCAAAAATAACCCAAAGAATCACAGCCCTCCTGAGACTTCAAAGAATTTTACAAACTTTTTAGTCTGGACACAAATACTACCTTTTCTGTAAGGCCTTGCCTGACACCTTATGGAAAAGTGCTGACCTCACAAAATTCCCTGCCTGCCTTCCTTGACTCATTTTTCTCATTAATACTAAACATGCTACGTATTTTACATAATACATTGTGATTATTGTTTGTCTTCTCCTACTAGCGTATGAACTCCACAAAAGAAAGGATTTTAAATCTAGTTTTGCTCCTTGCGGGATCCCCATTACCTACAACAGAGCATAAAGCACACTGTAGGTGCTCAATAAGTGTTTTCTAAACAAGCGAAAGGGTATCAGATATATGTAAGCAAAAGAGCTGATCCTTGCCCCAGGAATGAACGACGAATTTCTTCTATTTAACCGACTTAAGATTAAAATATGAATTTTAAAGAAAATAGAGGACTCAAAATCTCCAGACTGCCTATCCAACATTTCTATAGCAGAAAGGGGGATGGTGGGGGCTGGGGGTGGGGGGAAAGCTAACATTTACCTATAACGAATTTGCAACAATCAATGGAAAGTATTTTTAATAAACTGACTCTGGGTCTGGAGAGAGGACTAATTAATTAAATCCCATGTGATACTTGTTAATAACAGAAAAAGGAAAGTTTAATACTTAGAAAGAAGTAAAAATTTCAACAGCAGCCTGTTTTTCTACACCCAAAATGAGATCCCATCACCAACAAAACAGATCTCAGAAGAATCTGCTTTAGCAGTTTTGGCCTCCTCAGCCACACACCCTCCAAGGTGCGATACCAAGAAACCTTTTTTCTCCCCGCATTCCAGAAGCTCTCCTAGAACCATTTTACAGATGCCAACCAACCTCAGACTTCCCAGTTCTAATTGACCCCTGACCCAATCCAGCCGCACCTGAGCATTATCACACGCCCTGCAGAAACATCTACCCACCTCTCAGCCCCCAAACATCCCCTAAACAGTCAGCTCCACCAACTCATAGTCATGCAGCGTGAAAGAATCCGGATAGGGGCCTCCAGCCTGGCCAGAACTGGAAGACATTTTACACCTCATCCTGGTTTTGCCAGTTTCTGTGTGACCTTGGGCACGGCCCTCAACGTCTAAGAGTCCCCATCTCTTCACCTTCAAGGTGAGGATGTCACCTGCAGCAAGCTGCTGCAAGGATTAAATGAAATCGCAGGTAAAGCACCTAACAGGGCACCTGGCACGAAATGGGAACTCGAAATCACCAGTAGCGGGTGGTATTCCCCAGTCCTATCCATACGGTCTCAGAGCTGCAGGGCACCTTACCGAACAGTCCAAAACCTCCCGGTTTCGGAGAAGAGGACACTGAGGTCCAAGGAAGGAGAAGCGCCTTGCTCCCGACCACGGGGACAGGCGGCTGGGCGCTAGCCCTGGACCTCGGTCCCCTGTGCCCCCGCCTGAACCCTCGCTTCTCCTCACTCGGCCCACCCCGCGCCGGCTCCAGGCGCCGCTG